CCATTTTATTTTTCTCTTATTCAGTTTTCCAAAAGATAAAAAATAAATTAATGATATTTACCTATTTTTATCAAATTATGTATTTATCAAGTTGTTGTCATTAGTGATGACGATGATGGTGATTCAACTTTTTGAAAGAGAGGGTTACTAATAATAATTAATGACTTCTAATTAATTAATTTCAGCTATTAATTACTACTAATAATAACTCACTAATAATAATTTCCTATAGTAATTACTGCTAATACATAATTACTGATAAATTTTCTCATTATTAATTCGGAATGATAATTAATAATGATTTTCATAATGGTAATTAATAATTCAGAAATAATTATTTTATATTATATTAACTCATATTAATTATTTTGAAAATAAATATTTAATGTTAATTATCTATATTAAAATTATTATCAGAAATTATAATTCATACATTTATTTGAAATAATTAATTACATTATTATTATTATTATTATCAATAATTATAATTAATACTTATATTAATTAATATAATTATATTATTATTATTATTATTATTATTATTATTATCAATAATTATAATGAATTATTGCTAATAATAATGATTCCTGATAAAAATTAATTACTGATTATAATTACTTACTGATAATTAATTCCTTAATTATAGCAATTATAATTATTATTCTCCAATAAATGTTTCATTTAGTGAAAGTTAAATTATAAACTTTAAACTATTCATTATTGTTAAACTAAAAGAATTATAAAAGCAATTACTATTTCAGGAATTAACTAAAAATCATAATTATAACAAATTAATTACTTCATAATAAAAATAAAAATAAAAATAAATAATAATAATAATAATAATAATAATAATAATAATAATAATAATAATAATAATTTAATATTACTTATCTTATTTCAAAATCAATACACACATAATAAAAATATAATATTAGTAAATAATAGTAATAATAATATACTTATTATTATTAATGACTTCATAATTATTAATATATTACTAATCTATATTACTCAATAAAGACATGGAATAATAAAACATTCAAATTGCCACTAAATGGATGAACTAAGAATGTGAGTATTCTAATTGACTTGAATTTGACACATCAACATGCCCAAAATTATAATTTCAACATAAATTTCCTATTTCTATATCCCAATTCCCATAATTCAAACATACCAATAGGTTATGTATAGGTTTCCTTACCTTTTTTCCTAAAGATAAAATCTAGCTAGTCTACGTGCACCGTGAGGAGCTTAGACTTAAAATCCATAACCATGATTGACCAAAAGAAGTGTTGCCACCTAACTTGGAGGTGACTTCCATACTCAGGATGGTCCCATTATTCTCCTTTCTTTCATGTTTCTTTCATGTTTCTTCTATTCGATGGGCTTTGGAGTCCTAATTATATTATTAGTTGATTGTAGCCATACATGATGATGATTTGATTGTAATCATTTATTTTTCATCTCTTACTTCAAAGGATGGATGCATATGCAAATGTTGTTTGGCATTAATTGTTTTTCTTAGCAGCTCTTTGAATGATTTTCTACCTTCTTTGCCTCTTTGAACGGATATCATTTAAATGCTTTTTATCCATTCATATGTCCCTAAATATTAAGCAGTATTAGTGATATTGTTGTAAACATCCATCTAATTTTACTATTTTATAAATAGATTAATGATTTCAAAATTATTGATACTTTTTTTGGGGTGGGTTGCTCAACAGGACATTGATATTTTATTGTTAAATAGTAAATTTCAAATTAAATGATACTGTAGTTGCCCCTTACTTAGTATGGGGTCATTGTCTAGATAAAACATGGTAAGACTCTTAAATCAAATAAAGAGCCTACCCTAAATGTCTATTATAAATAATTAAAAAATGATATAATTCAAATTAAATCAAATAATTACTTGTTGAGAATTAATGGATTAAGTAAATAATAATAACAACCAATTATTTATAGAAATAAATAATAATAATAACAATCATCAAGCACTTAATTAAGTAAATAATAAAAAATGAAATAACAATCATCAATTATCATTAATGTTTATTCAAAGCATGCCCCATAATAATTACCGAATACAATAATTAAACCTAAAATAAGAATCAATATTTATTAATAGTCATTAAAGTTGTTAAGCCAAATCATTAATGTTTATTCTTAAATGCAAAATATGAATTAACAAATTTATTATATAATAATTATACTCGGTTGGAAAAAAATATTTTAAGTAAATATTTAAATAATTACAAATTTAGTTATTATTATTACTATATAACAAAAACTTTAAATTAAATACTAAAATAAATTAATAATAATAATAATAATAATAATAATAATAATAATAATAATAATAATAATAAGAATGGGTAAATTAAAGTAATAAACAGTTCAAGTTGAATTTAATGACCCGTATAATTTTATGAGTTTAACATATAAGGGTCAATTTATATGGACCTGTAGACTGTATGAATGTCTTAAAAAATGACAGTTTATAAATAGTAATAAAATGGTGATAAAAATCATTAATGTTTATTCATATATATAATTAACTTCCCCGTACTTAGTATGGGGTCATTCACTAGTAATATAGTATGACAAAATTGGGAGGTAATAAAAGTGATCAGATCGGCTGCCCACAAAGCACTCTCCACAACCCATCCCCTCAAGCACGGGAGATGTTCCCAATGCATGAAGGGGATGGGCGGGGGCATGCTATTTGGGCAGCCGATCACATCTCATAAATTAAAGAAGAGATTGTAAGAAAGAGGTTTTCAATATCTGATCATTCTTTATATAAATTTCATTTCTTAGGGTCTGTTTGGTTCATAGTCAGAATCTAAATCGGAATCGGAATCGAAATCCTCATGAATCAAAATCGGAATAGTCCATTTCCGTAGTCTGTTTGATTCAGACAGGAATGGGAATGAAAATTAAAATTAGTAGGAATGAGATTTCATTCCTAAGGGAGGGGCAGGAAATGACCATTCCCTCAAATGGGGAAATGCCATTCCAGCAAGAATGAGAATGAGATTCCGGTTCCACCCAACCAAACAGTTGGAATTGGAATAACCCATTCCAATTCTGAATCCAAATCCCTATTCCTGCAAACCAAACGGACCCTTAATTTATTTTAGGCCCGAAAGAGAGGGAGGGAGTGGGAGAGAGGCAGTCCAGTCCCCATTCCTGCCCGAACTGATGAGGTGAGCAGCAAATTTGAACCTCCTTACCCACTTACTTGAAAAACACAAACAAACAATGTGCATTGGACTTACATTCACATGATTGATAAATGCGCTATTTTCTTTTTTTTTTTCTTTTTTTTTTATACTTTTGCTAACATGCCAAGTAGATGTTGACGAAACTTGAGGGCAAAATCTATAGTACCTCTATTGCACCGTAACATGATTAGTTGAATATAATGATAAATTTGCCTTATTAAACATAAAAATACATTTTATGAAATGTAAACCAATAAAAATTAAAAATACTTTAATATAATTAATCGAAATATAGATTTAATAGACAACCAACATTAATGAATGAATCATAATTAAATTCAACTTGAAGATGCCAATCGACTCAATTGATAAGGTTATTGGCTGGTTGTAGGATAGATTTGGGATCTGAGTCCCCATTATGTAATCCAACGAAAGAAAAGATGTTGATGAAACTTCCTTGTTAGAAAACAACATTTTAACTACCCGTTGCTTTGCTTTCGTCAAAAGTAAGATACTAGTTGTTGTATATAAATATTTAGTAGACCATATGTGACCGATATAAGCATAAATCCATAATAAGGTGTTCAATCTATCTTATCATGACAAATTATTGTAACCACCAGAGTTGGCAAGTACGGTAGACTATTATACTCGAAATGGGCCCATTGCATTTTCATCTTCTGCAGGTTCGGATATGTTACCCACAACTGTTTCCATGTTCTTACTCATACAGTATTAGAGTTGCACATTGATAATTTCTTTCTTATCATTTATTAAACGAAAATATTTCTAATACACTGCAGTGGTGTACTATTGGTATCGATATCGATGTAAAAATAGTTTGTGGGTGGAAAGTGAAGTTCCCTTAGAGATTGGAAAACATCATTAAAAGAATGTCTTAATATCGATTTATTCTTCAATTTCAACATCGTCTTTCGGCATATTTATCATAAAGCAAATAAGCAATGGACTGATTTTATGCAAGGTTTAACGTATTGATACGTATTGACTTATATTGGCTGACACGTATTATATTGAAAGTTTTCTGATATTTTCTTATAAAGAGTGTATTGGGGTTTTGACCGGTTCAGGAGGTGAACGGATATTAAACCCATCCCTCTGAATTGAATTTGAAAAAAAAAACTATCAGTACTGCCGATATATCTCTATGGGCACATCGAACGTATCAATATGTTTTTTACGTGCAATGCTCTATTGACTTGATCAATCTAGAATATATATACCTCGAAACCTTAAGTTTATTTGCTGCTACTCCCGTTTTCTAACAAAAAAAACAGTTTGTGGCTAGTGATTTCTTTTGCCATGGTTCAACCGTTTAAGGGGAGTTAGTTCTGATACCAAAAAAAAAAAAAAACAGAAGATGTTTGCTCGGCTCGGTTCAAACGTTACATCCAAGCATCCGGCTCTCGGGTCCACCGCCTGCGCCCGGTTCTTATCTCATCAAGCATTAAGCTCTTACGCGATGGGCGGGGGCCATGTCGAGGGAATCGGTGTCAGTCACATGGATTCCATAGTGCGATGGTTGATACTTGACAGCTCGAAGCATTGGTGTCGGAATGTGGTTGGAATTTTCCACGTTACAGTCTTACAGTAGAGTACAGACAGAGACAGGATCTAGTATACTGTATTACCGACTATACCGTAGAGACGTTCAACCCGGAAACCTTATTTCCGTTATTTCTGTACGAAGTGAAGGTTCTTTTTAGTACTTCCATTCGTAGGACCGGCTATAAATAAGGCATGGACTTCATTTCTTGAAGGAGAAGACTTCGGAGCTAATTGATGGAAGCCCATTTCTTAAGTCAAGTCAATTTCAGTGCTCTCTCTCTCTCTCTCTCTCTCTCTCTCAAGTTTCACCAAAAGCCTGTGAACCACAAGATTTCCATTGAAATTTCATCAAATTGGATTGTTTCACAAGCTTCTTACTCTTTAATCGACTCCACCGTTTCGTTGTTGACGTGATTCCAGATTCAACCTGTGAACTATATCACGGATTTCTGGTTTTTATCTAGACAAAGTTGAGTTAACTTGTTAACTCAACTGGATTCTGGCTACATATCGATGATCTAGATCTGGAATGTTTCATACATAGTTGTTTTGCCACCTGAACGTTTTGAGCTAGAAAAGAAGGTTGAATTGGCTGAAATTCATGTTTTTAAGCCTTTTATGAAACTGAGAAGTTGGAGTTTTGTAGTTTTCCTTTGGAGTGTGAAGCATTTAAATTAAAATGTCTCTCACATTTGTCTCTCACATGCGCAAATGAGAATTGTGGATTTTCGCAGTCGTTGAGTTTTGGTTTTAGATGATTATTTGTTTCTCTGTTGACTGAACTAATAAGAAATGAAGCGAAGGAACACACAGTATAAATCCTACAGCCGATGGAAGCTGAAGCTTTTCGTCATTCTTTTGATAAGCTTTTGTTTTGGAAGCCTAGTATTGTTGCAGACACATTATAGTCGAATTAAGATGTTTATGTCGTTGCCACCTCCATTTGTTCAAAAGCCTAAGATTGCTTTTCTGTTTATTGCACGGAACCGACTACCCTTGGATGTGGTCTGGGATGCTTTTTTCCAGGTATCTTCTTTACTCACTGTTACTTTGATTTTCAGCGACCGTAACTGTTGACTTCTATCCTTTTATGTTATACTGTTTCATTGATGTCTAAGGTCATTGTATTGCCTTTCTTTCCAATGAATCACATTATTGCCTGTAAGGCTGAAATTTAGCATCTTAACATAGTTTATTGTCTCAAGGTTTACTAGTTCTTCACCTTCAGCACTACCATCGCTGTTATTATGTAATTAATTTTGCACATCGTGAAGACATAAGAAGTAGAAATAATTGGATACTGAGACTTAAACTCACTCTTTCTTGGCGTTTATCCTGTAGATTGACTTGTATCTCAGATATTTCCTTCCATTATTGATATTTCTTTGTTTCTCTTTTAATATCTCTTGAAAGAATAAGAAATTATTGCTCCTCAAAGTAAGTTCAGAAGGTCAGTTCCTTCTGTTTTTACAGTGCATCTTCTTCTCAAGCTCCCCTTGTCATCTTGCATTTTCATTTGCATATTATTTATGTTCAAAGTTCTTCAAATTGTTTATAAAAAATGTCTAACAAATTGATAAAAAAAAAACAGAAAATGTTGAACAAACTTGATAACCAAACTAGATGGACTGGAGCTACAGAATGGGAGAATTTGTCATTATGATCCTTTCTACGATTCTTTCCCACAGCTTTTCTCCTACCATTTGCTTGCTGGGATTTACCTATATGACTATAGGAGATCTTTCTTTGTTGGCAATGAGTTGTTTAATTGACATGCTATAGCTTTTATGGGGGTGTTTGATGTATAGTATAATTGGTTTTGTGCTCTTGAAGGGTAAAAATATCTTCATTAATTTTATCCTATCAAATTTTATATTTTTATTTTCTGTTGTCCTTGGGAATCTGTAAATACCGTTTGCATTAGTTTTCTGTAATTTGATACTCCAAAGTAAAAAGAGAGAGAGAGAGAGAGAGAGAGAAAGAGAGAGCATGTGGGCTTTGAAGCTCTGAAGTATATACATCAAATTTTCTTTAATTCTTTTTGCAAGAAACAATATAAATATATTGCTGAAGAAACATATCCATATTTTGCAGGGGGAAAAGGAGAACAGATTCTCTATTTTTGTTCATTCTAGGCCCAGGTTTCTGTTCAGCAAGGCAACAACAGGATCTACGTTTTTCTATGGCCGCCAAATTAATGATAGTATACAGGTTTACAGTACTTGCATTTGAATAAGTTTGAAAATAAATATTGAATTGATAGACAAGGAAATTCTCTTGAATTTGTATACATTTAAATTGACAATTATTATAGCTGCCCCTTGCTTTAAAATAGTGTTTTTTATCGATAACTGTTAATTTTATTAGTTACAGAAAAAAGAGTGTGAAATACAAATGTGTGCTTGCCAACTTCCAAGCACAAAAGCACTAGTAACCCCTGCTACCTACCCCAATACACTCTTGAGCATCCAGTCTAGTTGGTTGGGTATCCAATAATTATTCCCCAATACATGTTGGTTTTCTGTACACCTTTCTTAGCTAGCATATCTTCCATATTCTTTCATTCCTTTGCTATCACATCTAACTTGAACTCTCAGCTTTCTCACCAACTTTCTAGTATCCTTTAGTAGGTTCCTTTATTTTCATGGGCCTGGATTTCTGTTGGCTAAAGCATTTACTGTGATGATTGAACCTTTTGCTAAGAAGTTGGCATTGTTAAGATAGCAAGGTCAGCTTTAATCCATAATGTAGATCCATTGGTTTAGCCTTCAAAGACTCTGATGCAGCTGAATTGCCTATGCTTGCTTCATTTGCACCCAAGAAAGCAATTCACAGCCACTAGGTTTTACAACATGTGATTACTGGACCTAAATATACTCTAGTAGTTAATCTAAGATTTAATTGTTCTTTACAACTCTAAACAAGTCGAGACAAGGAGAAAGAGAAAACAATTCTGCCCAACAAAGGCTATTCCATTCAACAATCAATCCAAAAGCTCATTACAAAGGGTGGGAGCTAGAATACATACTAGCTAATGGCACGTTCCATCCCTAATTCCAATCCATATTGGCACCCCAAATTTACTATAATAAACCCAATACAAAATAGAAAGATATTTTTATAGAATAAAATAAAATCCTTATAAAACCTTAGAGAATAATATAAAGGGCACCCCAGTGCACGAGGCTCTCGCCAATGTGAGGTCTGGGGAGGGGCAGATGTATGCAACCTTACCCCTACACATACAGAGAGACTTTTTCCAAGATTTGAACCCTGGTCAGGTCACCCAAGTCACAACAGAGCAACCCAATAGTGTGTGAAGGCCCATCCTCACCTTAGAGAATAATATCTAACTTGAAAATGGAAACTGAATATTTGTTGGATCTTTTTTGATGAGCTGAATCTTCTTGTCCGCCTTAAGATTGCACCATCTAGATTTGCCTCTTCTTCCTTGATTCACTTTCTGAAATTGATGAAGTTGCCAAATTCTTCACCTCTGTTATTCGCTAGATCTTCTTCGATGAGCTGAATCATCTTGCCCAAATCTTAAGATTGTGCCATCTATGACCAGCCTCTTCTTCCTTGATTCACTTGCTAAAATTGATGATGTTGCCATACTTGAATGGAATATCTTCAATACAATGTAATGGGTAAATTCCATTAAAGAAAGTACCAGGGACAATAAGAAAGTAGCCATCATCTTATGTGGAAACTTATCCTTAAAGAAAGTACCAGGGACAATAAGAAAGTAGCCATCATTTTATGTGGAAAAGAAAGTCATCATAGTTTCATAGATCTAGCTTTTTCATACTTAAGAAGCAGCATAGATTTTATTTGTTGTCACCCATAAGCCATGAGTCACAGTTACTCACTCCTGAGTCTTTACTTCTCTGACTGAGTCCAGGTCTTTTCTCTAGTTTAGGTGCAGCTTATCCTGCCAGGATCTGAGTCATGTAACCTGTCTGATATTGACATACTTCATTTATAAGCATGACTTCGTCATGGAGGTTTTGTTATCTCTATCTTTTTTTTTTTAACTTATGATTTTGTTCCAGGTAGATTGGGGAGAAGCAACTATGATCCAAGCAGAGCGTGTTCTGCTAAAAAATGCACTTGCAGATTCTTTTAATGATCGATTTGTTTTTGTATCAGACAGGTGACTATCAATCTTAATGATGGATGCTTTAGATATTTCTCCTCACATGTCAATTTGAAATCTCTTCTACAACTTTTATCGCTGTACCAGTCTCTTTTTTATATTTACATTTCATATTTTATGGTCAAGTGATATGTCCACTAGATTAATGGGGATAAGCATTGCAATTTTTTTTTGTTTCTTGTCCCTTTTCATTTATTAACAGAAAACTGTCTGAAGATGTTTGTAGTAAGTTCCCACTGAATCTATCATATACTCAAAACTAGCAATTCTAGTCGTCTCACTTATGAAGTGAAGCTATAGCTTTACATGACATCTTCGTAGTAATTTGTATTCTCTTCCAAGCTCTAATAAAATAAGATCTTATTTTCTAGTTGCTCGTTTTTCTTTTTCTTTTTTATTGAGATTATGTACATTACGCAATGCATTCTAGTATTTTATTGGAAATCAGGTAGGGGTGGATTCGAGCCGAGCTGAGCTGCATATCTGGCTATTCGAGCTTGGCTCACCAAAAAAATGTCAGGTTTGAGCTTGAGCTTGAGCATGATTCGAGCTAGAGGTTTGAGCTTGAATTCGGCTTGGCTCAAAACTCAAAAGCTTGTATGTTCGAGCTTGGCTTGGCTCGAGCTTGACCATGAGCCAAGCTTTAGAGCTTCCTATAAAAAATAAAAATTACTTTTTAATTTACATACAAAAAATTAAGAATTAAAAAGTTATTTATTATCATACATATAAAAAATAAAAAATATTATGTATACATATAAAAAATATTTTTATTTTATATACAAAAAAATAAAATTATAAAAATTATTTACTATTATGCATAAAAAATATTATACATATAATAAAGCTTATTTATTAATATACATATGTATGTATGTATGTGGACAGAAAAACAAATTACAAGCAACACTTCAAGTATACAGCAATAAGCACAAGAAATACCAAGCTTAAAACAACAAAACAAGTTGGATTTTTAGGGATTTCAGACCTGAACCTGAAGTATAGCTCCTCTTAGAACAGTTCCGCTACAGTAACAATGGTAGAAGCTGGCCTCCCGCACGGCCACGCAGTGATGGAGGGATTGGAAGGTGCCAAAATGAGTCGACTCCTCAAAACCCAAGCTCCCAATACTTGAAAACCCTATCTAGGGCTGAGTTACAGCTCAAACAAGAGAGAAAGAACCAAAAGACCCCTCCAGAAACAGCCCCCCATCTCTTTTATAAGACCCAGTGGCTTGCTGGAGAAGCCAATTAAAATATTTACACATAACCCCTAAAATGCTTCCCTCTTAGAAGCAACTCCTTGAGAACAAAACTAACTTCAAATGAACCCCCAAAATATAACTTTTGTCACAAAAAGACCCAAGAGACCAAAACCCAACAGATATGCACCCAACTGCCCTTGACCAAAATCTGACATAAAATGACGAAAATACCCCTGGTCCCAAACTGTCAACAAAGCTACCCAAAAACAACAATTTGGGATCCTACTACAAAAAACATGCAAAACAGAATGCATTCACTTTTTTTTTCCAATTTTCTTTTTTTGCCTCATCAGTATGTGCGTATGTATGTATTAGGCTCGATTGTGCTCACGAGCTTCATGAGCTGAGCTTCATTGAGCTCGAGCTCGGTTTAAACCAATCCAAATCGAGCTTTTCACAAGCCGAGCTTGAATGGCTCGTAAAAAGCTTGATTCATTTCCACCCTAAAATTAGGGTTAGAAATTAAAAATTCATTGATGGATTTAGTGTTAATTTACATAATTGAAAGATATTTTTCTTTATGCAACAAATTTTCTATGTCAGAAGGCTTAGCAAAGCCAAGGCCTAACTTTTGAGTTTGTATTTAAGTTGTGTTCTTTTATTTTTTTTTTCTTGTTCCCTTTTCAGTAACCAAAACAACAAAACTACTAAATTTTCTTCAGGTTGAGCAAACCTTATTATGAATTTTACTGAATTAGATGTTCAGATTTCAGTTGACTTTTGATTCTGAGGTTTTTTCATTAAGCAATGACTACCAAGTAGTAATAAATTATCGATTCATCTAGCTAATTATTTTCATTTGATTGCATGGCAGTTGCATACCTTTGTACAACTTTAGCTACACTTATGATTACATCATGTCAACATCAAATAGTTTTGTAGACAGGTGAGTTGGGTAAGTTCTGATATAGCAATGCAATTTCTTATCTAGCCATGAATCAATCTTCATGAGTTAATATGTAATAACTAATTTTGTTAACATTTTTTGAGCTTTCCACCATAGAAAAGCTTGTTTGACATTCTTAAATAAAAAGGGACATCATATCTAAACGCTTCTATGACATTCATGTTACATATTCCTATTTTGTATAAGCATTTTAAATTTTCGTTTGTAAAAAAATTGAGGTTGGTTAGAAAGATGAATTCTTAAACAGAAGGAAATAAATGCTGCATTCATAAAAGTAAGTTGAGAAAATAACTATTCTCAGATATCACAAAATTGGAATTGCATGAAAATGGGTTATGTGATTCTTCAATATGCCCATAAATGAGGGTAGAAGAGATGATGCACGATGAGATGGGTGAGTGGCAAGGCTATAAAAGTTAAAATTAGAGATGAATTCATCTGGGGAAATCTAGGAGTAAACTCAATAGATGATTAGAATGAAGTACATTAAAAGGGTTTGGGCATGTAAAAAGAAAACCAGCTATGGCACCAGTAAGGAGTAATTTCATTTAGATTGATGGTTGTAGAGGAGCCAGGGGAAAGCCAAATAGGACATGAGAAATGATCGGAGGGCTCACAATTTCTCTAGAGGATATGGCCCTTGGTATTGTAGAGTGGTAAAAGAGGATTTATGTAGCTAAGTTCAATATCAGTGGGATGAAGCTTTATTGAGTGTAAAAAAAAAAAAAAGAAGAAGAAGACTATTACCCAATGCCGGTTCCAGCTCTCTGGGGTTTGGGAGGGGTATACTGGATATGGACCTAACCTTTGACTTTTTTTTTTCTCAAAAAGTGGCTGCTCTCAGACTTGAACCTGCTCTCTCATGATTGTCAGCCTGGGGTTTTACCATTATACCAAGCAATGGCCCCTATAATACTTTATTTAGCATTCATATTTTCATTGTGTATGCTTTTACTTTAAATAAATCTGTAAATATATTACCTCCAATGAATATCTTTCTTGTGAATGTTATCCATTTATTCTTCTTCTTTCATGTGGTGAAAAGCTTATTTGGATTTTATGGTGAGCTTTCATGAGGAAAATATTTCCAAGTTAACCAAAAGAAACTAGGGGAAAGAAAGGCCTGAAGAAGACACCTGTTCTGTTATTTGAGTCTTAACAGTAAACTTCCTTGTTATTCCTGTAGGACAGAGAAATGACACCTCTAAGTTGAGAAGAAATAATACTTCATAGTTCAAAGCAATCATCTATTTCAGAGGAGTGCAGTTCTAAATTTAAAATTGATTTGGAGTCATTCCTCAAATTCAGCATTATTAGCTATTCCTTTAATATACTGGTTAATTACTTATTGTATTGGAGGGCCAGGATTCACTATAAGTTCCTCTTGTTGGAGGTTATAGGAATATTTCTTTAATGTTGTTCAATATCCAGGGACTCTCATGTAACTTTTTGGAGTATAAAGGGCCTGCATATAATTTTCAGATTGTTATTTGTTGGGCTTGTTTAAGCAAGCATTAGGATATTTGAAGGTCGAGAGAGAGGTAGGCTATGAGCTTGAAGATTTGTATCTCCATTTTCCGATATAGTCGACCGATATCCTCTCCTCTGGATGTATGCCCTTGTGGCCGAAGCACATAAAATCTGGTCTTTTCTTTGTTCTTTATTTCTTTTGCTGTTTTTCTTGTTTGTGGGTTAATATCTCCGTATTCTGTTATGGTGGTTAGGAACTTAGAATGATGTGGATACTAATGCATTCTGGATGATTTCTTGTTTTGCCAAAGCACTTTGGAAATTATGTCATGGAGAAGTTAGTATTAATCTTTGGAGTTTCTACATGATTTTCAATATTCTGACTTCTTCGTCAGTGGAAATTATACTTAGACTAGTTTTTATGTAATCTAAAATATTGGGCATCTGTGGAATGATTAAATTTTCTTAATTGCAACTGATCATATTATGTTGAAAGCAGTTTTGCTGATACAAAAGAAGGTCGCTACAATCCGAGAATGGATCCCATTATTCCTGTCCAAAATTGGAGAAAAGGGTCTCAGGTAATTCTTCCATTGCTTCATATATATATATATGTGTGTGTGTGTGTGTGTGTGTGCATATATATATATATGTATGTATGTATTTATGTATATTAGACCCTTGTCTGACTACTTGCAGTCTCTTCTTCCAGTGGGTTGTGCTAACCAGAAAGCATGCTGAGGTTGTAGTGGAAGATGAAACAGTCTACCCAGTATTTAAGCAGCATTGCAGAGTAAGTTTTTTAAACCATCATGTGGAGTGCCAGTATGATCTTGATTAAACTTAGTTCATATTAAGAATGCTTTTTTTTTCCCGAAAATACTTGACTACAGCAGAATGACAAGCTCTAAAAACAGAAATACAAATTTTACTTCAATGTATCATCAACATACCATGGTCTATTTGTTTTTATTTGGAATTTTGTCTAATATGATTTTATGCAGTTCAAGAAACATGGTGTTTGTATTTATCAAAAAAAAAAAACATGATGTTGTGGCTAAGCTCAGAAGTCAGAAATGGTTGAGAAAAAGAAATATGAACCTATTCTCAAGTAAATAATGGGAAGAAAATATATACCATGTAGAGTTGACTAATATGTTAATGTTTGAGTTTCATTACATTTGGAGTGATGATTTCCTTTATTGCATATAATTTTTGTCTATGCATCAATAGGGGTGTTCTAAATTGTGAAGTTTATTTCAAAATGGCCTTTATGTCCTTTTTATTTCTCACAGATGTTCCATTGTTTTATCTCTTCAAAAGGGATATTATGATGTTGATTATCATGTAATGATATACCAATACCTTCTATTGTAAATTATGCAGAGGAGATCACTACCTGAGTTTTGGCGCGATCAACCTTTTGTAAGTACCACCCTACCTCTTTTCTTTATTCAGCCATGGCAAGGCTAGCCATTTAGGTATATGGTTGCAAAACCATCATTCATAAAGTAAAATTCATTTTTATAATTTTATATTACAATGCCATGTTAACAATCTGAGGACTTATGATTTAATGGGGATATTGCTCTTCATAGAGTGGAATGGTGAAACAGGATTTGTGTAGCCAACCCCATATAATTGAGATAAAGCTTTGTTGAGTTGAGCTGAACTTTGTTACTTCAAAATAGAGATAAATAACTGGGAAATTATCTAAAACCTAATGATAAAAAAATTATTTAACATCTTCTTTGACTTTATGACAATGTCTAAAACTTCTCCCAGCTTTTAGATGCCTCTAAGGACACCCCCAAAAAGTGTCGGATGACAATCAGAAAATGCAAAATTACTACTCTATACATCATTGGTTATCTACCCTTCATTCATAATTACATATATCTTTATATACTGAAAAATGGTTATTTTGCAAATGACCAAAATACTCCAACTTGCATGTGGGAGACCCAACTGAACTAACAAAATGTATGAGCATGAGGACAGATTGATGCTTGCATTAAATGGATAGTCTTAATAAACATAGATCTTTACAACTACGTAGATGATATCAATTCAATGGTTTGATTTTGACATACTAATGGACTGTCAGATCAATGCGCTTCCTTGCTTCCATATAACATGTAACTTCAGATAAACTAATCAACCAAAATTAGATCAAATTTTGTCAGTTCCATGACCCTGCAGGTAGGCCATTTATGATCCTAGTTATACCTTTTTATTTTGAGAGAGAGAAAGATATCGTTAGCATGTCTAAGGGGTATTTTTGTCACATTAAAATTAGGTGAAATAATTTCAAGTAGATCAAAGCCATTTTTATCATTTGAAATTATTTCTAGGTTAGGTTCACTTCCTTATGTAACATATGACTTAACAGCAAAGATAGCTATGTGGTTTGTGAAACCTTCTAACAGGAGGTTCCTTGGAGGTATCTAAAAGTTTGGGGAAGTCCTAGACATTGTCATTAAATCAGGAAAGTAGATAAACTGAACTCAAATGTACAATAACTTATGAGGAAGTAGTTATGCAGCTGAGATTGCAAATTTGTATATTTATGGTCCTTTCTCCTGCAGCCTGCAGATGCATCTAAGGAACATAACTGTATATCCGATGAACATTATGTTCAGACATTACTGGCAGTAAGTGGATTTCTCAACCTTTTGTATCCTGAGCTTTACTGGTTTCTCTGCCTCCTTCCTTCCCACCCTCAAGAGGTTATTGGAAAGTGAGGTTCAAAACAACATTTTACCTAGAACAAAATTTCAACTTGTTTTGAAGAATTCAGTTTGCAGTGTCATTTGGAGGCAGTTTGTTGGTTTTTCTCACAGCTCTGAAGTAGAGAATCCAGATATCTAGTTATTTTTCTTTTGTACATAAAGGAGTAAATTGCTGCTGTCTTCCTTTAAGTACTGGTAGCATGATTAGAAATTCCTTTTAAACCTGTATCTGTTAGGAATAACTTCCTAAGGTACTTGAACTGAAAGATTACAACTTGGCAATATACAGAGGTTAATTCAACTTCCTACATTCCAAGCAATGTAGAAATAAAAAGTGTATAGGCTTGTGACATGGGGTTAATTGCAAAAATACTTGTACTACTAAGCTTGCATTTGGATAAGCTTCAGGATTTGTGTTTTTAAAGCCCCAAAGCACAAATCGCCAATTTTAGGCTTTGTGTTTTGGGGCTTAAAAGTGTTTTGACTTTAGATTATGTTTTTAAAAGAAACACTTGCTAAGTGCTTACAACACTTTGCTAATTGACAATATTGTTTGATTTTTTTAAATATTTGTTCATTTCCATTTGTAAGGTATAAACAGGTGTCCTTTATGTTTTTAAGTGTTATATTAAATTTGTAATGTCATTGGGGGCACATGTGCAAGATGGTAGATTTCTATAAATATTAGTTCATTTAGATACAAGACGTTAAACTGTGCAAATAACTAATGTTTTTTTTTTCTTTTAAAATAAACTTGATTTCTTAAATCATGAACTTTCAATTGTAAGCATGTAATTTGGGTCAACAGTGTAATTTTTATGGGTTTTTTAATTATTGCAATAACTTACTGAACATAGTCCATTTTAACTTAATTCCTCTTGCCATTCTCCTGAGTAACTACTGGTGGTTACGTGTTTTGTGGTGTCACTGGAATTTGGCCTCTCAATCAAGTAGCATCAAGGTTTTGTTATTCCTGATTCCTCATCCTAAATTTAAACCAAACAAGAGGAAAAGAACAATGAATTCATAAGGACAGAGAAAACCTTCTGAAGCATATGCATTCAGAATATTACTGCAATTCATTTTACTTGAACAAATTCTTGGAGTACCTGATGTTTGATTGCTCTCAAAGTCCTAGTGGTTCTGCCAAATATTGTTATACTGTTTCTCTTATCTTAAAGTCACGTGATGTTTTACCCATCCAGCAAAAGGGACTTGAAGGTGAAATCACACGGAGAACACTGACACATACTTCATGGGACCTTTCTTTCTCCAAAGATTTTGAAAGGCGTAATTGGCATCCTGTGACTTACAAGTTATCAGATGCTACTCCCATGCTTATACAATCAATAAAGGTAGGCATGCTTCTGCAGTTCTGCCATGTACTTACAAGCAATTCTTTGAGTGACTATATGTGTATTGCTCTTACTCATTTGATCAGATCTATACAAATTCATTTTGTTTTGTTTGTCAAAATAAAAAGGATCTCTGTTTTTCTATGGTTTTAATAATTAAAACAGAAACTTTAAATTATAACATTATCTGCTCAAAGTTTCTGAGAACACATTGTGACTTGTGAGATTTAATCAGTTCATGCTGAAAGTTGGTCATATCTATGAATGGACCTTCAAAAGTAACATGAGAGAGAGAGAGAGGAAAATTTTTTATTCTTTGTGTTAGGTATTATAGATAAACTTGAGAGACCATCAAGTGAAGTCAACATCCATGAACTAATTAATTCAATTAATATGTAGTATCATAAAAAGAAAATATTGCCAATATTTGCAGGAGATAGACAATATTTATTATGAGACTGAATACCGACGAGAATGGTGTAGCAGTAAAGGGAAACCAGCTCCATGCTTCCTTTTCGCAAGGAAGTTCACTCGGTCTGCTGCTCTCAAGCTTCTTTATACGGTAAATTTCCCATGCCTTAGTTGTCCTTTTTGTTATTTATAAAAGGAGAACTGCAAAGTATCTAAGTATTCATAAAAGAGTCCGACATCTTTAGAAAAAGGGCAATTGGATTTTTGTGAGCCAGTGGCTGGCTTGTTCAAGGTCTAATTGCATTATTTATAGCCTTTAGAGTTTAGACAAACTTGCATTATCATATTTATTTATTAATTTACCTTCATTTTCTATGGGACAGTCTATCTTGGGAGTTTCAGTAAAGGAATAAGAAAATCATAGCAGTAGTGACATGCAAGTGCTTGTTGTTGCAAGTTCAACACGATCAAAATGACTGGTGATAATCCATCCACTAAGAAAGCTGTAACCTTCAGTGTAAAATAAATAGGTAGAGCACAAATGAATGGTGTTAACTTGATTTTGTTCTCCTCATTTTCCTGTATTATATAACAATAAAGAATGAAACCACAAATTTGTGTTGCCTCATTGCCTTTGCCTGGTGGCCTTGTCAACATCGCTTTTTAGGTGCTATTAGTTTTTTATTGACAAGTAAAGGAGTGTTAACTGCCAAGTACACCAGCCCGGCTCAACCATCGGGCCCGAACTCGACTTATAATGGGCTGGACCAGGCCAGCCCGTCAGGCTACCTGGCCCATGAACAGGTCTACACATGACTCATCATATACTTTTATATGAAACAAACCAAACCCATAAACTGTTAGTATTTAGCGTATTGGAGGGTTGAAGAACCAATCAACCAATGCATGTTGGTTGATATGCATCGATACATTTGGATATTCCAAGCCTTGTATGTCATATTTAACGGGTTGTTTGACTAAGAAACACAACCCATATCCCCATATAATACAGGGAACCAGGAGCAGGCTTACCATTCTTCTTTGACATTCACATTTGTTCTTACACCATGGGAATTTGAAATGAGTACAATGGTATTGGTGGTACCGTGTTTCAAAATATGTTCTAGTTCAATGCTACATAAATCAAGGATTTAAAATTTTGCAACGGGCGTTTTGGTGACCTTTCATATGCCCTTACAGTATCCGTTTCAGGGTATGAGCAGTTTCAGGGGGTAGATAGGTCTTATACAAACCCACTATCATACCTGTATAATTTTGCTTAATTCACATCTCTAGAGCGTAGACAGTGGACAGGGGATGCTGACCCAGACAAGTTAATTTGCTTCTTGAGTTCTGAATTAAGGGTTTATTACTTTGTCTCCCTTTTACGCTCTTTTTCTTAAGAATAACATAATATAATTTTCCGACTTTTTAAAATTAACATGAAAATGGCAGAGGTATGTGTCTCATTACAACGACTACTTCCTTTTTTCCCCTACAGAAGCCTACCTATTCTAACATGCAATCAGTAATTTATTTGGCCAAGATAATCCCTTTAGTGGAGCCACTGCCCTACTTTCTATCATTGATTTTATCGGAAAAAAAAATGCTATCTGTGGTTCAGTGCAATTTCATTTGCGTTGGTTTCAAAGTATGGGAGTGCAAATTTTGGTTTGTTTTGATTTAGTTTTTACTTTTATTTTTAGTGCCAGAATAAGTAAAATAACCATAAAGCAAAATTGAATCAGAATTTTAATTTACTCTTCTCATTTATACTTCCATGCATTTGTACTAATGCAAATGAAATTGCATTGCAAGCAAAGAGCTTATACTGCATGCATCAATGGAATTCACATGCTCAGTCTACCGCGACATTATGACTTAAAAAAGTCCACTTTGTACCCAAAACAAATGGTGCAGCTTTAAACTCCAAGGCTTGGAATATTTTTAGTATGATCCATTTTCCGCCTAAACGTTGTAGTTTTCTTTGTCATGCTTTGTCAATGGCATTGATATGTGTACCGAGCAATAGCCAATAGGAGAGTATTAAGGGAAGAAAGCTCCATTTTAGCTATCAGTAACTGGTTTTATGGCTAGAACTATGGAATTGGAAGATTAACTGAGTGCTTTGCAGACAAGTTATTTTGTTTAGTTCTTGATGAAACGGCTCATAGCTGATTATAAGAGAGAAAATATGAAATGAAACCTGGCAATTGCAACCTTTTTTGTTATATTTTTCGAGTTTCAACCAATACAATACGATGGATAAAATTTTATCAGCATGCTGACATTCAAGAGTGTTGAACAAATGATATTCTCAGTCTCTGAAGTCAGCTGGCACCGTTGCTTCTGTAAAATATTCTTCTCGAACAGTCTCTGCCGAGCAAAATCTCGCCTTCAAAAGAAAAAAAAAGGAAAGTGAAATACTGCACACATAGAAACAGAGAAAAAGAGTATTTTATATCCCATGTTAGAAATTATTTACTTTCAAATTTGAACTTTTGGCTCAGTTTGGGAAGAGTGCATACAAATACAAGATTTATAAACATGGTATACAGGGTTTTGCACAGAACATATTTGTGTTTGCACCCTTCTCAATTAGCCAAATACAAATGTTTACAGTGCAAATACAAGGTTTAGTACAAAGTTTTGCACTGTACATATTTGAATTTGCACTCTTCCCAAACTGAGCCTTTAGATTTCATCTTCAATAATTGTAAAATGGTTTAAAGCCATGATTTAAACTAGCATACTAGTAATAAGCAGGCAAATTTCACTGAACTTATAAGCAATATCTAATACTAAAAGAGTTCTTTAACAAAAAGCTAAAAAAATTACGGAGATATTTGACCTTCAAAGTTTACACTAAGACTGTGTTTGGTTTGAAAGGAAAGGAAGGGAAACCAATATAATTTTTGTAGAGGTTTCCCTACCTTTTCCTTCCTTTCCCTACACTTTCTTTCAAACCAAAAACAGCCTAAGTGGAACTATGGAAGCTGCTCTGGAGGGACATAAGAATGAACTTTTGGAAGCTTAGTTCACACAAATATGTAGTGAACAACTGTAATTAAGTTTGGGATAGATTACATACTAATCGTGTCTATTTGATATCGGACACTGTAAGATGACCATACACTAAGGCTCCATTTGGAAGGAGTACAAATACAAATATGTAGAGCACAAAACCTTGTATTTTGTATTATTTTGTATGTATTTGTACTCTACATTACTGAGGTGTTGCAGTATCATCCATTCAGGAATGTGCTGCCAATTGAACAATCTAGATTGAAAAGCTGATGGCAAATAATATTTAGGATGCAGGGAGAGGGGGACTCTATGAAAGTAAAAATGAAAAAAAAAACATTATAGAGAACCCGAAAGAATCTATGAATAGTAAGCACAAATCCTACCAGAGAAGCATATGATTTCAACAAGGGCTTGACTAACTGCCAGAGTGGCTGGAAGACAAAGGGAGCATCCACAAAGAGAACTTGCTCCAGTCGTTTTGGATAGTAGTAATAAAATACATCGATCTGCAAGCATAGAAAAAAAATCAGCCACATCAAAACCACAATTGGATAGTTCTCTACAAGGCTCTTCAAATATTCATAGAATTTTTAAGAAACATTTCACTAAATTTTATGTGTCCATTAAATTAAAATGGAGCTTCTTTTTCCATCTTTACTTTTGACAGTCTGAACAATCACCTTGAACTATTTAATCTTTATGATAGAAGGCTTTCATCTTTTTCTTTTATTTGCTTTTAGTAAATTACCCAAGTCTTCCACAATTTTTGAGTGGCATCAAGCTTGAATAAGTTAACATTGGCATACCTGCTTTAAAATTGACAAATCCTTTTCTTTGAAGGGTAACAAAGATACGTTCTATTAATGAGGAGATATATTCTAAATAGAGGATGTGCAATGGTGCACAATATTAGATTATACAGTCCTACCCTCGAACTGAAAGTTACAAATGCCTTGAGTATCCACCATGGAAAGAAGTCCTTTCCAGTCCCATTCTGAGCTAAGTCATACACTATTGAACTGATTTTCTAGGATTCCACCTTGTCTTGGATGGAATAGAACTTAATATATCCCTTGCTTTGTTAAGTGAGCAAGCATCCAATAACCCCAACCCAAACCTACACTCCACTTGATAGCATTAGCCAGAGCCTTCTGAATTGTCTTGGAAGAAATTTGATCTTTGTTCGCAGTGCAAAAATTAACAAGTCTTTAACATTAGGGAGGTAAATAATATAAATATAAAAATGTTAAGGGAGGTGATTCATGATTAAGAAGCTGAACAATGTTTTCAAGTTTTTACAATCCATAAAAGATGTTTAAGTACTTTAGTATTATTATTCAAACAACGATAACTTATAAATATAGCAAATGGGTTTGATGCTTCAACTAAGGGAAATAATGAAGATCAGGTTTTGAAAAGGCTATATTTGATAGGGTCGCTAAGACTTATGAAAAGCACTTCAGTACAGTAATTAACCAATGGTCAAGTAAATCAAACAATTAACTTCAATTTTAATGGAGTCCCAGAAATCCTTTTGGGTACCTGCACCCATGTAGCAAACTCCTTTAATTTCATTTTCAGTGGTATCCAATGACTGAAAAAGAAAAAGATCATTTTCAGCTGTCACCAGAATAGAGGTTGGTTATAGACACCATTATCAGAAAGTGGTAAAGGTTCTATAGTTATGTTGCCCCTAAATTGTTAGCCCAATGAAATGTGGTCTCCTAGAAGTGGTTCCTATGAGATTAAAATCCTCTTCCAGTTTCAATATCAAGATTTAAATTGAAAAAAAAAAAAAGAAATGAAAAAGATTAATTAGGACAGTAGAACCTTTTTCCTTCTTCTTTTTCTTTTTTGCAACGTGGGGATTCAAAAAGTTACCAGGAACTTTAAGAAGTTCAAATCTGCATTATCTGTACTGAATCCCCGGAGATCAAATATTCCAAGTATTTCTTCTTTTCCATCTGGGAGTTTACTCAAAGCCTTCTCGATCATAAATACACAAAGTTTCTCATTCTCAACAGGATTGTGCTTCTGCAACCAAATGGTTATAAGCATGTCATTCCAGAATAGTTAATTGCACAGTATAGGAATTTAAAAATGAGTTATTTTTCTAGGCAAAGATGTAAGGAAAGTATCTTTAATGAAGTTGGAAACAGTTTCTATATGGAACTTCAATGACAGAAGCTCTTCTTGCAAAATATCAGAAACAGTAGTATACACAAATGGGAGAATGCATAAATTTGGTCACAAAGAATTTCTCGTCTCAGATAGTTTCATCAAAGGCATCCTGAGGAGGAGATTTCAGATATTTAATAGGAAATGCTGTGAGAGGATGAATTTTGTGTACTAGTGTTCTTTTCTTCTTTCTTTTTTTTCCTCTTCCTATTTTTGTTCTTTTTGTGCCAGATTATGAGATACAAAACATGTCATTCAAGAAGAGGGTGTAACAACATATCCCTCAAGTTGTACCTATCAAAAGGCACACCCCTCTAGATGTTAAATGGATGAAACCTAGGTCTTGTTGCTTCTATCTTTCTGTTATTTTCATTTTCCTTCACCAACCTCAATATCAAGAGAGCTTATAAGTTGGGATTATAGAATTAGATAGTGGGAGTAATCAAATGGGGCTTATTGCTCCCACTATCTAATTCTTATATTTCTTCATAAGACCCTATCTGAGGAAAAAGAAAAATCAAAAGAGAAAGAAAGAAAATTTATGACATTAGAAAGCAGATTCTTCAAACTATATTGTCATCTCAATAATAAAATATGTGAAGACATACCGCTGGAAAATGCTTGGATGCCACCACTATAAGTACCGGTCTGCCCTCAACATCAAGAAAGTCATGTACATATGCTTTTCCAGTTCTAGCTATCTCTTCCATAGACTCTTCTGACACATCTGAGACACCAAATTCTTTACGCCATTTCTAGTAGGGATGAAAGGATGAAAAGGAAGGCTAGAAGATAGATAATGGCTTGACAAATATTCTGGGATTTAAATTCTCATTCTTTTCAGAAAAAATAGAAATCCTATTAAAAAAGACAAAGTAGAAAATTTTTAAAGAGCATTCAGATAACCTGGATAAGTTGAAAATGTGCCACAAAATAAAGAGGCCCAAAAAGCAAGAAGATCAAGAATTTTTCCTCTCTAGGAATAAAGGATTCTCCAGTTATTTCTTGGAAAAAAAATACACAAAACACTCTCAGGGTCCATTAGAAAAACTTTCCAGATTCCTGTTAAAATAAGTTTATGAATCAAGAAAAATATGAGGGACATGCAAAGGATAATTATCAAATATAATATTAGATAATGTAAATTTTAGTTTGTTCATATAGAAAGCATGGACCTGCAGGAAACTCATGGATACAATGGCTTTAGTCAATTTTGATACAGCCTCTTCAACACAAAACTTGCGGTCCTTCAAAAACCAAAGGATCATTTCTTCGTCATCTCTTCCATTTCTGCCGACTGGCAGAGTAGAGTAATCTCTTTCAAGCCTTTCTCTCACTTCCTTTACTAGCTGTTAAGTTTGAAAAATAAGGACTATGAGAATCCAACAAAGCGTTAGTAAATTCAAATGATAATGCCTAGAAAATGCACAAAGCAAAGAAGGTACAGCCTTGGAAAAAATACCTCTTTGAATTATGACTGAATTGAACAGTGAAAGCTAACAATTAATTATGTATGTAGGAGTTGCATATTTACTTAACCACTACTATGCCATTTTTCTAGGAAACCACGACTTTGTCATTGAAATTTATCCAATATTAACCTTTTTTTAATGAATCCATTTCCTCAATCATTAATTGCCCCCTCATGTTTGCCTTAGGTTTTCTTTCGTAGAGGTGAAATGAGTAAGAATTTGAAATTAGTAACGAGACCTCTACCAAAGCTACTTTAGGTTCTTCAAATTGTTCAGATTCTCTGACTCGTCGAGTAGAGACCTGGGATCAAATCCCGCTGCCACCAGTGGTTGGGGGGGTTAAGGGAAAGGGGATGGGCTACCCCCTGTTGTGTAAACCCCATGAAGCGAAAAAAAAAAAAACAATTAAGGAGAATTAAAAAAAATGAAATCTGCAGGTTTATTTAGCATTTTAGCAAGCGACCTCTCTTTTTACGGGGGAATTGTAAGAGAAATGCTCAATTTTATTATCAAGTAATGCAATGAAAACCACTCTATGCTGCATCTAATAACAGTTAAACGATACGAGAACTCCACAAACCAAACTGGTAGAAAACCGATACAAGCACAGTACGGTATCTGGTCCATAGACTTTACATCAGAAATAGTGAAATCGTAGGCTCGTTCTCCCCCCAAAACACTTAATACAGCAAGAATTCAAGTAGTTCAAATACCATAAATGATGAAATTGAAAAAGAAAACGAAAACATAAGCACAAATTCGCAAATCTTAAAATTGTTGCATTTTGTTTAACAGTGGATACTGGATACTCCTAAAAACCTCTAATTCCGAAACCGTTGAAGTATGCAGACAAACTACTTTCCTTCAAATTCAAGAACCATAGTCTAGGCGTGTGTGTGTGTGGTGGTGGTGTCAGAGAGAGAGAGAGAGAGAGAGAGAACCTTATGCGTTTCGATCTGATTTCGAGCGAAGAACGTGCAGGCACGAATGGGTCTATTGTGAACACGAATCGGAGAAAAGAAGGATAACCCAAAAGGGTAAGACAGACGTAGAGCCATTGTCGTGAGCTCGCTGCTTTTCAGTCTTCACATTTATTTGCAGTAGCGTTTCATGCTTCCCGGGAAAACGGATGGTGCCGAACTGCCGCTGGCTGTTGTTAAACATGAATGGACCGGTCCCAGTCACTTGCATGCGTTGGGCCAGATTTAAAGGCCCATTTAAAGATTGTGAGGCAGTTTTGAATGTGATATGTTCTACTAAATGCCGAAATGGCGAAACAGGATATCATTCATGTAGCCGAACCCATATTGTTGTGGAACAAGGCTTAGAAGAAGATGATGATGATGTTCGATTAAATGACAAACCTAATTGATCATTTGATGTTCCAAAAAGGCTTCCCAAAGTTCAGCTTCCATGCATCCATGGGCCATTTGCCATGTTTTGGTGGTACTCAGTAATCTTGTTTTTGTCTGGGTTCAGTCCCGAATATGTGGACAAAATCTATGCAACTGGACTATAAAATGCAGAGTTGGATTTGTAGTGAGTTCATGGTAATTTGGGGCCCAGATCGAACCTACTTTTGTGGATCCATACCCAACCAGACTATTCATGTGGATCTGGATGAGATACGAGTTGTGATTTGATAAATTTGAATTATCCAACTAAAACCTAGGTCCCCAATCCATCATCACTGAGTGGTAAGTTGAATATGCCTTCTCCAGGTTGTCTTTAATGAAAATGACTTTGATTGCTTGCTTGATCTCTCAGCTCAAACCTCAACGCAAGACATACTGACAAAGGCTTATCTGGTAGAGGGTTTGGATTTTCCGCATGTATTCTAGAGCAAGAGTTGGGGACTTGGAATTGTAAATTAGGGCTATAAGTTAGGTTGCCTACTTGCCTGATTTGAAGAATTCCAACTACATCGGACTTGGGTTAGTTAGGGTTTAACCGTTTAAATCCATTATAAGCTTAACAAATCTCCAACCAGCCTGACCCAAGTTGCACTCCCTGATTAGCTGTAATGACACATATTGGCTTTACTAAGAAAATAAATAACAGTAATCGATTGCATATTGTAAGTTGAGTCGGGCTAGACCGGTCCCATACTGTCCAACCCAGCCTGGAATATGCCCAACGGCCCCAAGCAGAATTAGGTTTTGGCTTAGCTGGAACCAAATTTTAGAGTCCCAAGTGTTAGTGGTCGATCTGTGCTGAATCCCTGCTGGTAGTGACAGCTCGGAGATCGCTAGACGAGATTGCAAGACAACATGTCAGAGAGCCCGAGGGATGACCCGAGCAAGGGGACTCTAACACTCAAGTTAACACTGAACAGTCAAGCTAGCTGGCGTAGCATGCTCGACACATTCAGAGATAATAAGACTTACCCGCTCATTGTTTACGGAGAACTCCTGCACGGCTTATCTGGTTCCCGGTCAAGTGGAGGGAACCGAGCTTGTTGCTGCCAGATGGGCATTGTGTCCGCGTGTATTTCAGAGGCATTGAGTGGTGTGGATGGATAAGAGAGAACGTGCCATGTAGGTTAGAGTGTTCCTGAAGTCGGTGAGACCAAAGGAATGTGCTGTGGGACGTTGTGGGGGCTGATTTGAACTCGAGGTCGGAGGGGTAGTTGGACACTCATAGCAATCAGCGGAGGTACGTGTCCAATCACGTAGACCCGGCCTATCGGTCTACCTTTTAGCCAGGTCAGGACTTATTCGGGCTGCATGAGCCAATCTGTCGACAATGTTTGAGCAATGTCGTGACACACATGGTGCTAAGGTGTCGTAAGACAGTTCTTAGCTGCCATTAGCAGATTGTATTGATGGGTCATTTTAGCCCTTATCATCAGATATCACGTATGCATCCGGATATCGTATAATTGTAGAGTTGGCTTCAGTTAAGATAAAGCCCATTCGAAACAGTCTTTATAGCCTTGCATTGAGAATATCTAGATACATACTTTATTTCATGGGAAAATATTTCAATACAATATTGCAAAAGGCAGTTGAAAGGGTGTAGGCATGGGCTTGCTCTGATGGAAGTCGATCTCATATTTGTATCAAATTTGGTTAATATTAATAGCAAAATACAAATTGATTGGTTAGTAAGCCTTCCTGCTGGTTGTAGCGGATGATTGGGTGGAATCCTGCCTGCACCAGGATTGATTAGTAACCCGTGCTATTATGGACTAATATATTATAAATTAAGGTTTTAAAAACTGACCCTAAGATGGAACCACTTTGACCACTGTTTTCTAGGCCAGTGGTTCAATCGTTTGGGTTGAAACAGGTTGATGAGTTAAATAAAATACATGTACTTCCAATCTAATTGCATATTTTGATCTCTCTCTTTCTTTCTCCACCCCACTAATCAATTAGTTCCCACTTATTTTAGTTTTTAAAACCCAACATCATTTTTTTTATTATAAACCGTGAAATTGCTAAGGTTGGTTCAATGGTTACATTTGCTGACCAAGTCAATGTTTTTTTCTTTTAAGAATTCGGGGCATGGGCTAAACGGAACTAGGAACTAGATAGGTGGCTAATTCCCAAATCGAACAGGTCAAACACGCTCTGAGTTGGGGTGAGGAAGCTAATAGGATTAAATAAATATGGATGGGGGCCATCTAAGGGTGTCAATGGATTGGTTTTGGATTGGACTCTGTTCGGTCCAAAATCAATTTGGACGGATCAATAAAACATATTGGATTGGACCAATCTGGTCCAAAATATTTATTAAATTGGATTGGACCTAGTCCATCCATATTAAATTTATATTGGATTGGGTTGGATTAAACCAATATTTGATCCATTGACATAAAATAAGAATATAGGTGTCAATAGACCAGGTTTGGGTTGAAACCACTGTAAATCAAAATGAATTTGAATAGATTGGATGGTCCAGACATTGAATTGAACTGGTCCAAAGTGATTCAAAATATTCATTGGACTGGATTAGACCTGGTCCATTTATGATGGACTCACATTGGACTGGATCACATTAGACCAAATACAGTCCAATTGACACCCCTAGGAACATGCATAAAAGCCATTAGTATTAATATTAATAATACAAGTGGGAAACTTTGAGGCATAGGGGGGACCAAGGCTTCCCAAGTCTCTCCACCACTTTCAAAATGAACGAAGAATGCTGTAATAAACACATATAATGGACTTGAAGCCATATTTATCTCCCATAAACAAGAAAGGAAGAAAAGAAACCTTGAAACCTGGACCATTTATGGTCAATATGGAATGATGTTCACCAACACATTAATATATTTTGATCGAATACTCATTGATATTATTAGTACATGAGAATGTCCCTCTTATTTTATTGAGGCCCAGAAATGCACTTTTAAATCTACCAGCCCAAAACCTGGTGTAAGGAAGTTCCTGACACCAAATTACTTAATATATCATTATTTTGAAGGGGAAACTCTTGAAAGTGATTTTTTTCCCTTCTTTGAATCAAAGAGTGGGTTGGGTGCTAGATCTCCAATACATAAGAAAAAATTATGTATATTTGCATTTTTTTTCATTCAGGTTCAATTTGGAGGCAGTATAAATGTAAATATATACAGTATAAATATATACAAAATATAAGGTTTTGCACTCTACATTTTTGCATTTATATTATTTCCAAACTCGGCCTTAGGCTCAATTTGGTAAAAATATAAATACAAATCTGTATAATACAAAACCTTGTATTATCTTATATTCTTAAACCTTACATTTGTACTGTACCAAGCTCGGCCTTAATTCATCAAGCTTGAGTAAATTCTATGGTTCAAAAAATTTTTCATTCCCTTTATAAAGGCAAACCAGTAATTTGAACCCTGGACAGGACTCACAATATAAGTGGAACATTTCATACATGCATGACAAGTCATAACTAAGCAACAATTGAAAAGCATTAGTTGTAATATTCTGAACAGCCCCACAAGTCATGTCAAGTTGGCCACATATTAAAATTCTGAACGGATAAGGGTGGAGTCTACATAGAATAGGGCTGTAATTCCCACAAAAGAATGTTGAGGCATATATGGGAGCCCCCGTACTGGCAACACCACTAAGGTCTGCCCTGTCAGTTTTCGATACCAAAGGTTCCAGAGCAACAATTTTGGCTAATGGCTATTGAGCTTAAAGAGGACTACTAGCTATCCCCCTTAGGTGGACTTCATTTGGGATTTAGGGGCTACTTTCCTTTACAAGTCCTTATATTATGGCCCTTTTTTGGGGCCATCCTAATCTTGTGGATTTGGAAGCTTTCAAACAGATACCATGTCAGACTTTGGAATGTTGTTGTAGGCTCAAATCCCAATGTAAAAAGGATGTTGAGACTTGAGAGAGAAGGGGGCCGGGCCAGCTTAGCCCATTAGTAGGTATGGGCTGGTCCAGACAACCGGTGCTATTGACCCATAGATAGGTCAAAATGCATTTTCTACTGTTTTCAGTTTGTTATTCTATGCTTTGTATGTTTCCATTTAGAAGAGGTAGAATATGATTAAGACAACAGAGCCAAGCTAAGCTGGAATGGCCTTTCACATTGAATGCCAGACCCATCTCAACAAATAGACCCGGATAGAACTCCTCCTAAGGTAAAACAATCCATTGGAGAATAACTTGAGGCTCAAAATAGAACACAAACCCCAATGGACAAAGCTTTGGATTTCCAAATATTTAATCTCACCCTCATTCAAGAAGTATTAAAAACAACAAGGTTTGACTCTTATTCAATAATGTGTCATGTTATTTTATTATCCAAAATAAATCCATTATATTACAAAAGAAAAAAAAACAAAATTTCAGTTACCAAAACTTCTCTTTTCTAGTAAAATAAATTGGGGTTGTATTTGTTCTCTTTAAGAAATCATTTATATCTAGCAATATCTATTTACACATTAAAATATTTCCCCGAAATACACAACCTGACATTTCTGTTTGATCTTAAGGCCTTGTTTGCTTGCTGTGCAGTTTTATTTGCTTTGGTGCGAAAGTATGGGAGTGCCAATGAATTAGAGTCCAAAAGTATGGGAGTGCCTTTGTTTTGTTTTGTTTTTTGCAGTGCAGAAAAAATAAAATAAAAATTAAAGGAAAACTGGAAGCAAATATATACCAAAATTTGCAAAATTCTCATTTGCACTCCAATCCATTTGTACTAGATTACTAGTATTAGTGAAATTGTATTGCAACAAAACATGGCCTAACCAATAAATTAATTATGTAGTTTAAAATAAAATGAAAACAAAATCCATTTTTCTCACAACATTTGAAATATGTTGGCCGAAATTTGAGCAGAAATTCCAAATTTTTCAACAAAATAGTCCATTCCATTACGCCACTATTCTTGCATACATAAAATAAAATGAACCAAAATATACTGAAAGTTTGGGAAAAAAAATTAAAATCATGCATCAGAAAGCGTTGTAGCGCTTTACTTAAACCTATTAATTAATTCCCAAATCAAACTTATCAATGCCGAGCTATTATCACAAAGGACACCCAAGAAAGGTTCAAAGTATCGGTACACCCGATACACACGATTCGATACC